GGTAAAGAGACAACCAACAAAACAGCTTTGTCTTCATCTTCAATATTGATATCAATATTTTGCAGATCCATAATGATAGAGTTAAAATCATCAAGATGAGTTTGAATATGAGTACCTTCAACCATACGAAAGGTATATAACCTTTCTTTGAGACGAAGCTTGTTTGCGAGGCTCTTGGTCATGTATAAGGCTTCTAGCTTCAGCCACAAAGCCGCATCGGTTTCTTCATTGGCAACTTCACGAAGAACCTCATTGGACAAACAAAGTTGGATTGTTGAAAGCGCCTTTTCATCCAACTCGTCCCACTGGTCATCAGTCATGGAAGTTGGTTTCTTTGACTTCCCATCTAAAGCTTTCTTTAATCCGCTCTGGATAAGAACGGCCCTCATTTGGACTCGCCAAATAGAAAAGCTAATCTTGCCATCAAACTTCTCAATGTCAAATTTAGACATTTTGAAATTCTAAATTGAGTAAGAGCTCTGATACCACTTGTTAGGGATAGAGCGCAATGCGGAAGCACAAGATCGGCTCAATTGAGAACAAAAGAGAATGAATAAAATAAGCAAGAAAATAACACACAATATTTAACGTGGAAAAAACCCCTCAATGTGAGAGTTAAAAAACCACGGGCGCTCTAGAGCAAAATTCCACTATGTAAAAGGAGAGTACAACAAATCCTCTAAGAGTAATGAGGACAAAGAAAAATATTTTCACAAATACTCTCTCAAATGGAACAAGAATTCTCACCACAATACACTCACACAGATTAAATACTGAAATATATATATGCAAGTAGTATTGTATGAATTGAAGAATTTGTGATGCTGTTAGAAGCTCTCCGTGTGTGGCTTTTATAGGCAAAGAAACTTCATTAAACTTAGAAACTTGGAGAGCAAGGTTGGAAGCTTGGGAGGCAAGGTTGGAAATCTTGGGAGGCAAGGTTGGAAAGCTTGGCAACCAAGCATTGAAACTTGGCAAGCAAGTTGTGAAAAAAGTGTGGCAAGAAGCTTTGCAAGTTGTGCATATATATGAGAGCCACATCCAACAGGATCATAAAAAGAACACTGACTGAAGGAGTGTGGGCTGAAATGTAATAATGCAGTATGAGAGGCATTTTGTAATGTGAGGTCATTTCTTAAAGAACCTTGGGATGATTTCATTGACAATTATCTTGTGAATTTTGTCACCTAGTTTAGTAACACAATGGCTAAGAAAGAATTCAAGATACCCTCATTGCGACTCTACCACCTTGTATTCTTATTACAGACGCCACTAATCATTGGCCTTTTGTATGTGATCAATGTAATTCTGTTTGAGTCAAATTCATATCTTATGAACACAAATTTATAACCGAATAATTATATGAGATAACATGGCTTCCGAGTCATTTGAAAAGTTCTTTACACACTTTCAATTTTTAGTGTTTTTAGAGAAAAATTGTATTTTCGTTTATGATATGAAATAGGCCGGACAAAATCGAGTGTTCACAGCTGCCCCTCTTTACTTGTTACTTATTGGATATCACACAAACTGAAGTTTGAGTGTTGTCGTGATAAGTAACTAATAAAGAAATGAATAGTAATTTTGTCGATGTACAAAATACTTTATGTTGATGAAATACGGGGTAAGGTACAATAAACTTCGTGTTGGAGATCGTCAAACAAGGGACTCCCAAAAATTGAAATCTCTATCTTTAAAAAACGTCAGGCACGGAGCCTGGAAATGATTGACTTCGAGGTCGTCAAGCACGGGGTCCTCGAAATTAATTTTTTTATAAAAACGCCAAGCACGAGGCCTAAAAGAATGACTTCGAGGTCGTCAAACACGGGATCCTCAAAGGCATAGATTGAGGTCGTCAAGTACGGGGTCCTCAATCTTATAATTTTGAGATCGTCAAGCATGGAATCCTCAAAATTAATTAATTTTTTATAAAAACGGCAGGCACGGGGCCTGGAAAGAATGACTTCGAGGTCGTCGAGCACGAGGTCCTCGAATGCAAAGATTGAGGTCGTCAAACACGGCGTCCTCAATCTTATAATTTTGAGATCGTCAAGCACGCGACCCTCAAAATTAAATTTTTTATAAAAAGCGCCAAGCACGGGGCATGGAAAGAATGACTTTGGGTCGTCAAGCACGGGTCCTCGAAGGCAAAGATTGAGGTCGTCAAGCATGGGGTCCTCAATCTTATAATTTTGAGGTCGTCAAGCACGAGCCCCTTAAAATTAATTTTTATAAAAACACCAAGCACAAGGCCTGGAAATAATGACTTCGAGGTCGTCAAGCACGGGGTCCCCGAAGGCACAGATAGAGGTCGTCAAGCACGAGGTCCTCAATCTTATAATTTTGAGGTCGTCAAGCACAGGACTCAAAATTAATTTTTTTATAAAAAGTGCCAAGTATGGGGCCTGGAAAGAATGACATCGAGGTCATCAAGCACGGGGTTCTCGAAGGCAGAGATTGAGGTCGTCAAGCACGGGGTCCTTAACCTTATAATTTTGAGGTCGTTAAGCACGGGGCCCTCAAAATTAATTTTTATAAAAACACCAAGCACGAGGCCTGGAAATAATGACTTCAAGGTCGTCAAACACGGGGTCCTCTAAGGCACAGATTGAGGTCGTCAAGCACATGCCCCTCAAAATTAATAATTTTTTTTAAAACGCCAGGTACGGAGCCTGAAAAAATGACTTCGAGGTACAAGACCCGGAAAGTTCAAATTTCACGGGGCTCCTCTTAAATTTCTTTTGATTTAAGTTTCATCCTCATTGTGATATTTGATTATGTGTCTTTTAATAACTCAAATGTCAATAATATAAAGTTTTTTCATTGTTCTAAAAATAAATGTGCAACTGTTCATGAAAGTTAACAAAATCATATTATTTTACCTTTGAGTCTATGTTATGGTAAAAACAAAAATTTATTGTTATTTAATTAAAATATACAATGAGTGCATTTTTCTTCATTTTATACTTTCATTGAATTTATTAACTATTACATGTGTTATATATTTATTAAAAAATGACATCATAATTTTTATATACCTCAAAAACACTAATGTTTGGATTTTCAATGGATCATTTCTCATGTCATACAGGTGAATTTTATTAATTGTTAATTAAAGATAATAAAATGTCATAAATTCGTTTTTTTACATTCACACAAACTTTTCAAGTACTAAAAAGATCATTTATATGAATTATGGAATAATAACGGTCGGAGAGAATTACTCTCGAAATTTATGTGTAATTAATGTGAATAATGAAAGATAAAACATAGTAGTATAACAATAAAGGAAATTCATAAGGGAATAGAAACTGCATAGGTGAATAATGACAATAATTTTTCTTATACTATTTTAATTTGTAATTGAATAAGTGAATAAATATCGATAGCGTTGAACAAAATTAATAATTACTTTGAATAAATATCGCCGACCATTAAGAAATAAATAAAACTGATGAATATAAGAGAATAAAAACACATATTGTCATTTAATATGATGCTTATTGGTGAGATCGATGATGCTATTCAAGTTGAAAAAATAATGTATAGTAATCACTACATGCAAATTAATATGAGTGTTTTATTTTCAAAAAAAATTAAAAATTTAATATAATGTCTTCATTTCCATTTATTAATATTGTTCGTACATTTCCATTAATATCTTTAAAATATTTTAACAGTTTTGATCATAAATAATTAATGTCTTCATTATTTTGAAAAAGAATCGAATTATATAATTACAACTTTCTTATTTTCATGGTCATTTGTTACTAAAATTTCATTTATATCTATTAAAATATTATTATTAAAGTTGTCATACTAAATGATTAAATCCGTATTTAATTTGAAAAAAATATAAGTAATTAATTACAATTTCCCTTTTTTTATACTTTAAAAAAATGAAATAATAAACCAATTTTACTAACAACTAATAAGAAATAATATTCTAGAAATAAAAGAAATTATAAACAAGTTATATTAAGAAATAATCACAATAAATCCTAAAACTAAACAAGTTCTTCATATGTAAGTTTATATTAAGAATGATAAATATAAGTTTTTATTTTATTTATTAGTTAACAAAATATATACACTATAGAGTATGAAAACCAATAAGTGTATGATAGCAAAAGTTTGGCATGTGGAAGGGAAATGGATGGAAGATAATCGCCTCAGGCCCTCAGTGTAACACCCTAATTTTTTTCCCCTAAGTGTAGTGAAATTTAGGAAGTCTGGGGATTGTTGGACGTTTCTCGCTTGAGCGAGAGGGCCTCGCCCAAGATTTCTCTGGGACTCTCGCCTAAGCGAAAGTTAGCTCGCTTAAGCGAGAGGAAGGCTGAAAGATTCTCGCTTGAGCGAGAGTTGACACCCATTTCTGCATGCCTTGACTTGTTTACTCCACCTACAAATGATAACTGAGAAGAGTCAATTGAACAAATTACTATAGTGTGAACACTCAATTTTGTCTAGACTATAATTACAAAATAAAAAATAAACAGAAATCTGAACAAAAACAAAAACATGAGTTATTCTCAAGTAGTTGTATGGTTTCTAAACCATAGTTCATGTTTTAGCCAAAAGCTGTTACTACTTTTATCCTCTGATTTTTTTTCTTTTGTTAGTATAGTCTCAATGAACATCGATGGTGAAAGTAATGATATTATGTGCCTCATGATTGTTAAAATAACTGTTACGGCAAGAGTTGTTGACAAATTTGTAAGGAAAAGTTAAAGTTCTTGTCCCAACCTCATAGTTTGACACCGAAAACTGCCTGGTAATTTAGCCACATTCCGGAACTAATTTTTCAGTGAGCATTGTGAGTATAAACTAACATTGCATCCTACCACATCGTTTCAAATTTTAATTGATCCTATGAGTACAAATTCTCTATTTGTCAAAGCAACTTGTATGTTGGGGAGGCTGTAAGAGGTTGTGTCAGGTGGATGTTCTTAACGATCATATTCTACCCTTTTCAAAGCAGCCAAAAGATTCTTAGTTGCAACATTGATTGTCAAGATCTCACGACAGCGATGTAAAGTCAAGTAAAGTAAGGACTACAAGTTTGCAATTAAAATCAGACAAGGAAAACTTATAATGCAAAGATGGAAAGATCCAATATCTAATAAGCAGGGAAATAAGAAGGGATAGCTAATCCCCATAGTATTCATGAGTTCATCTGAATGTGATGAATACGATAACGCAACAACCAGCTTGTTGGATCCACCAACTCGGAATTATGCATCCTGCAAAACATCAAAAGCATTAGACAAGCTCGTTAGGAAAACATCATCACCATGGATAAGACTGACAACATCAGTGGTACTGAGATGGGTTAGTGGAGACAGTTAACCTCAACAAAACCAATATGGATACGAAAAGGTTACTTCAAGAGTCACAAAATTAATTAGCCAAAGAAGCAGAAAAATCAAAAGCATTTCAGTTATGCTTTGATACATCAATGAAATAGCATTAAGAAGGAATAAAGAGAATCAACCATATCAAATCAGCAAAATACCTAGGGATGACAATTAAGAGGTGCTAATCAAAAGTCATGCATATGAAACAGTACTCCTCAATTCAATTACAAGGCATTATGCAGAATTATTTTTCATACAGTTACTCTTCAAAGCATTAATGTGATGACATCAAAGGAAATACTAGGTTGTTAACAAAAAGGGATACTGAGGGGATATATTGTGCAGTTGCAAAGAGCAAAGCAGTGATGAGAAGAATTAAAATCAGAATAATTAAGGTAATTATAGGCCATGAATACTCCTAACTCTAAATTAGTAACTCAAGAGACTCTTAAACATGAGCATGGAGAAATAGATATCACTCATCTACCTCCCCACCACACAATCAGAAACACAATAGAGATAAACACCTCTCATATACACAACCATCCAAAAAGAAAATCTCTCATACACAATATCTCAAACATCCATCCGCAACAAATCCAGGAGCAACACACACATAAGGGAACAACATACACATACTCAAACACAGTCACCAACAATCCAAAAAGAGAAATCAAGAGGCTACAAATCTATCACATGCACGCAAAAAAGACAATCCGCCTCAACTATCTATATCTGCATCAGAACATATACATCTATAGCACTACATATACAAGCATTCAAGGGATACTCAAAAGGAGGGCAGCCATCATAAAATAAGACATTGAGCAGCCGAAAAGGGATGACAATCTATCAATAATTGAAGAACATTACCAGCATAAAAGGCGAAGGATCAGAAGCAACAAACACATGGTTTCGGTACCTTAAATTCAGCTTACCATTCAATACAAGCGGCAACACATTTTTAAACAAGTTGTCAACAAATTAGAGAAAGGATTCATTACCGAATCCTTGCGACTCGGCTGTTCTCAAGCCCATCACCCACCATCGTCAGCGGAGAAGAGAAGAGGTGGCAACGGCCTGGAAACGTCACTTTCGCCATCGCTTCCCATTAATGCCATTTCCGCTGCTTCCGAGTCGAGCTAGAAGGAGAAACCGTAGCTGGAATGAGAAGAACGAAAATGGAAGAAAAGATGGTTACCGTTTCACGAGCCTCCACCTTTGAATCGCCGTCGCCACCTTCCCATCGCAGTTGCCGCCACTCTCCCACGAGCAATGGTTGCCGCCGGAGATGGGAGAGAAGGAGAAGAAGAGGGGAATTAGGGATTTGCCCCTCCCCTTATTTCGGGTCAAAAATGAGAAAGGAATGCTGGGTAACCCATGGGCTTAAGGTTTTTTATTGTTATTACTTATTATTTATTTCGTAAATTTACTTATCTAACCCATTTATGGTATATGTTACTTTAGAAAATAATCATAATATATTTCATATATTATCTATACCAAAATGTGTTAAATAAAACCATCTTATTACTTAAACGATTTTTTATGGAATTTTTATATCGAGGTTATGGTTTGTGTTGTCTTTAACTTCTCTGAAAATGGGAAGAAGGTCTATGACCAGTGCTGTCTCTAAACTATTAATTTCATATCAAAAATATTTTAAATCTACTCTATTACTCAACGAATTTTAATGGAATTTTTATAGCGAGTTTATGGCCCGTGTTGTCTCTAACTTCTCTGAAAATTGGAAGAATGTCTACGACCAATGCCGTCTCTAAACAATTAATTTCATATAAAAAATAATTAAAACTGTAACACCCTAAATTTCAAGTCATTAAATTATAGTATCAGCCCTGGGAGTCTCGCCCAGGCGGGAGAATTATCGCCCGGGCGAGAGAGGCTCACATGAGAGGGTGAAATCCTGGGCTATACTGGAGGATTCTCGCTTGAGTGAGAATTGCCTCGCCTGAGCGAAAACCCGACAATTTCACTTTAAAATAGAAACCCCAAACACATTTTAGGGTTAGAAATTGAGAGAGAAGAGAGGAGAAGGTGATTTTGGAGAGCAAGAACTCGTGGGAATCACCTAGAAGCTTGAGAAGAGGTAAATCTCTTGATTCTAACTCTCCTTCTCCCTTTCAAACTCGTTTTGGGTGTATGGATCTATTCTCAAAGTATGAAAAACTATGGAAACTCTTCCTTTAGAGTTATGGTTCGTTTTAGGTTGTTTTTCTCTTGTAAACTCTTGGTTTAGAGTTGGTATTTGATGAATGGAAATGTTTTGCGGGTTTATCCATGAAAACCCCAAAACCCCCAAAATGAGAATATGAGTAAAAGGGAAATGAGTGAAATGTTGGATGTAGAAGATGAGTTTGTGTTTTAATGTTGACATATGAGATGAATATGTATGTGTTAGATGTTTGGAAACTCTTGATGAAAGTTGTTTAGAAACATTGAAAATGTGTAAATATCTTGTATGTTTAAAAGATGAGACATGAGTTCTTTATGTGTTATTTTGTATAAAGTACTGACCTTTGTTGTTGTTTGGTGTGGATGAGGAAAGATCATAAGGTTGGAGGTAATCGCGGAGGAAACTTGTAAAATTACATGGAAACGACCCCAACGTTCACCAAGGTAAGGATAAGTCTTTAATTATACTTTGAAATGGAAAATGTGTGTATTTTCTAGTTGTGAAAGTGGTTAAGATGCAAGTCGCTTATTATAAACATATATGGGTATGTTCGTAATAAAAGATGCGTGGAATTGCTGTTTATAAATGTATTGAATCACCTTCGTGGTGTAGACTTACCCAACGTGGTATTGAATCACCCTCATGGTGTAGACTTACCCAACGTGATATTGAATCACCTTCGTGGTGTCGACTTACCCAATGTGGTATGGAAATCACCTTCGTGGTGTCGACTTACCCAACGTGGTATTGAATCACCTTCGTGGTGTAGACTTACCCAACGTGGTATTGAATCACCTTCGTGATGTCGACTTACCTAATGTGGTATGGAAATCACCTTCATGGTGTAGACTTACCCAACGTGGTATTGAATCACCTTTGTGGTGTAGACTTACCCAACGTGGTATTGAATCACCCTCATGGTATAGACTTACTCAACGTGGTATTGAAATCACCTTCGTGGTATAGACTTACCCAACGTGGTATTGAATCACCCTCATGGTGTAGACTTACCCAACATGGGTATTGAAATCACCTTCGTGGTGTAGACTTACCCAACGTGGTATTCAATCACCCTCATGGTATAGACTTACCCAACGTGGTATTGAAATCACATTTGTGGTGTAGTCTTTCCCGAGGTGGCATTGAATAAATAAATGTTAATCGTAGTATATGGGATACGTAGGAGCAAGATGAACTCTTGTCAGACACAATAATAAAAAATAAAACGTTTTGCTTTCATTAGTGAATTTTAATAAATAATTTTAAGGGTATAAAAGTTCATGTAATTAGCGAGGGTACCGTTTTAATACGGGCGGATGGGGTGCTAATACCTTCCCTAATCCGTAATCTGTAAGGACCCAAATTCTACACTTGAAATTTTTTCCTCATTTTAATCCATTCATCCACATTTTCCCTATAACTTAGAATCACAAATCCAATAACTTATATTAATCCCGCTTCCCAGTTTATGATCGTTCTATAACGTAATTTTCATGCATACTTTCATTTAGCAGAAAAACATAATTCACATTAATACTCCCTAGTAACTACCGCATACAATTAGCTATGAGTTTTCTAAATACTCATAGCTACACATATCCAGTGTTACAATGTTCAGAATTACAATTGTCCAAAAATGGCATTTAGTCAGTCATGACTCATGATACAAAAATACAAATGAAGGAAATCCGAATTTAAAAGCTCATAAGACTCCAAATCAAGCATCCTCAAATCATCTGTTTACCTACAATGTGATTATGATAGCAACACACGAAACACAAGGGAGTAAGTCATTAGTTCAATAATAATCGCATATGAAATTCCACATTTTAAATATACATAAGCATTGAAGTGCTACACTTTTCTTAAGTACATGAATATAAACGTTCGTATCTCCTTTCTTTTATTTCTATTTATCCATATTCACCCTATAGTATATATATATATCCCATAATATATATTACATAGCATGCATATTCATTCATTCCAAGACACTTTTATTTTACTACAAATCTAAACTCTATACAAATATATCCAAAATGAGCCTTATTTAAAATTAAGGAATACATATTTTTTATCAATTTAGATATTTCTTATTACTTATTTTTAAATTAAACAATAAATAAATATAAATTTATATTGGGCACTGTCTAAAATTAAGGAATCGGAAAAAACATTGATAGAAATTGTATTATTATTTGAATTAACTATTTTCCTAAGGTTACTATTCTATTTTAGGTATAAAATATCAAATCATTTCTTAGTTAAAAAATGTAATTGATCACTTTTAGAAATGAGAGAGAAAATTTTAAAATCACACACATATATATTAAAATTCATAAATTTACTTGGTTAAAATTATAAGGTTATAGTTTTGTTTTTATAATTCTAATGTTACAATTACTGCACTTTAATGTTATAATAAAACGTATTAATCATGAGTTAACTCAGTGTACCATAAGGTAAACCAAGAAAATACAATAGCTCAAAAAATTGAATATATGAGAATGCATGAATTAGGGAATGGTTATAAAATTAAGGAATGAGAATTAAACAACAAATGGTTATAATAATGACTGCACTTTAATGTTATAATAAAACGCATTAATCATGAGTTAACTCAGTGTATCATAAGGTTAACCAAGAAAGTACAATAGCTCAAAAAATTGAATATATGAGAATGCATGAATTAAGTACAATAGCAACAAATAAGATGTTGGTTACTTTAGAATTAAATAACAAATGATTATAAAATTATATTTATAATGAGCATTCTCTAAAATTAAGGAATGAGGAATAACTTTGATTGAAATTATATTAATTTTACTATATATCATATAAAAATACTTGTACATATTTTCCTCTAGGATAGAGATAGAAAAGGACATTACAATATTTGTATGTTATATTTCTTATTATTACTCTTTTAATACTACAAATTAATATTGTAATATTATAATCAAATCTAAACTCTGTAGAAATATATCCAAAATGAGAATTATATAAAATTAAGGAATACATATTTATTGTCAATATACATATTTATTATTAAATAGTAATAATTTCAAAATACTATATACATATGATATTTCAGGATAAAGAAGTATATGATAATTTTTTGCTTTAGAGTAATAATTACAAAATTATCTCCAAATAATTATGGATATAGTTTCTCCGAATTCCTACAATAAGTACAGTCATAATTACATAGTTACAATAATAATTACAAAATTATATCCAAATTCCTATTTATAATAATTACAAAATTATCTCCAAAAAATTTTCAGTTTAAAATTAGTAATTATGAATATACTTTCTCCAAATTCAAACAATAATTAGAGTAATAATTACGTAATTACAGTAATAACTAGCAAGTAACTCGTATATTTGCACGGACCGATATTTTTTTATCGTATGATTATGAACATACATTATATGTGTATTCATATGATTAAGAACATACACGCTATTTGTGCGTTTACATGGTTTCGTGAAGACATGTTAGCTATATATTTTTTTTACTTTTTTTTATTGGTTTTCATACTCTGTAGTGTATATATTTTGTTAACTAATAAATACAATAAAAACTTATATTTATCATTCTTAATATAAACTTACATATGGAGAACTTGTTTAGTTTTAGGATTTATTGTGATTATTTCTTAATATAACTTGTTTATAATTTCTTTTATTTCTAGAATATTATTTCTTATTAGTTGTTAGTAAAATTGGTTTATTATTTTATATATTTTTTTAAAAGTATACAAAAGGGGAAATTGCCTCCATTATCTATACCAAAATGTGTTAAATAAAACCTTTTTATTACTTAAACGATTTTTTATGGAATCTATTATTTTTATATAAGAAAAAAAAGGTTCTTGACACATCATCATGGACACATGTCAATTTCTCCTTTATTTTTTTGCCTCCAAAATTTGTTCATATTTTTATTATGTACCATCACACATTGTATTAAATCTATATACAAAAAATTTAAATCAATTAATTATCATTGGACACATCCATCATCTACCATGGACATGCATACGCTGAATCATTTGACAAATACAAAATTCATTTATTCTAAACTTTTGATTTCACTTCAAGCATATTAAATTAATCACATATCTATTAATCCTTCATTTTTTCTATCAAATACTCAATCATTTACATATTCTCATAT